TTTCATGAGTGTTATGTCACTCACTATAGGTTAAATTTAAATTGTAAAATAACAGGCTGATAATAAGCACAGTTTATTATAGCATAAGCAATTCTGCATGTGAAAATAGTGGCCTTGCACAGGTTTTTGCATGTAACTAAATGACATAATTCATCATATTTCCACAATGATGTCATAACACACACAATATCACTGTGGCTTGCAACAGATGCCTATGTGAGGCTGATAACTTCTAAAAGCTTCAAAATGATATTTGCCAGTTACACTTGCTCTTGTTGTATCCATAATATCCACCTTTAATAGACTTCTGAAAAACGTATTTTAATATTGTTTCCTTGCTAGGTGCTAGATTTGAGCTGTTCATCAATTAAAAAGGCTATGCTGTGATTCAAAGTAGGTTAGAAGAAGGATAGCTAGACATCATGGCTCACCCCAACCCAATGGCATACCAGCTCAGAATGAATTGTAAATAAGAAGTTTCTCAATTCATCTCAAGTTTTCAATAAAGAAGTTTGCTAGGGTGCATCGGCCAGCTCTGTAAGTGTGTATGAGTAGACACCAACATAAACCACCTCTACATCGAAGTTAAAGCCACCACTAGAAAATAGCAATACCCTGCCATCAAACTGTTTTGTTCTCCAGATGATCAGCCACCAAGGCAGCAAGGGTGAGATAAGACCTCTCATCTCATGTAAGCATTATAATTTGGTGAATAGTGTGCTTTTATAGACGAGTACATGATGTTCAATGTTAGTGACTAATCCTGTGTTTGTTACTTTACAGCTACATGAGGATAGATGTTTATCTTCTGAGAAATGAAACTATCAGTCAATTTTCTGAATCTTGCTCGTGGATTTCTCAGGACTCTTTGGGATGAAAGCAAAGCAGCAGTACTGTTAAAACCTATATCCCCATAGTTCATCAGTGCTTCATGTCTCAAGTGTTAACATGGAGTGGAAGCAAAAGAGTTAGCCATTAGAGTGCTATAGTATCAAAAGACCTATGGGCTCCAGGTTTTATCTAGCATTAGGGAGAAAAAGATAGAGATGAAGATATATTTTTGTTGCCAGATTACTTTCTTGCTGAGTTTGTTCTTTTATATTCTCATCAGGTGGCTTTTCCTGTCTTTGCTGAGCATACATCCTGCAGCTATTCCATAGCTCTAAAAAAAAAATTAGTAAATTCAGAAAAGTGATAAAGGTCATTCTTGACAGATCTTAGCTTCTGCTAAAATGAAAAGGGAAGACATTCCCAGGAATGTTGGGAAATGTCACAGATAACAATTTCATGGAATGTAAGGGTTGGAAGAGACCTTGGAGATCACCCAGTCCACTTATGTCTTATAACTGCATTATAATATATACATACATACAGTTTATAGATGGTTGAGCTGAACTTAGAAGAGAAATGATCCACCATTTGGGAAGACTGTCAAGGACTGTATCTTAGCTCAGAAAAACATTAATGGAATGGAAAATACCAATGGAATTGAGAGAATTGGAAAAGATCCTTGAATAAATAGTTCATTCAACAATTTTGGATTGAAAATGTAAAGACAACTAAGGATCTTCAGGGCAAAAAAACAAAACAAAACAAAACCCCACAATAACTGATTGTAAATTTTAATGAATGTGAAATCTAGATTCTTTATAATCCTAAAGTTTTATTCTCAAGGGCTATGTTCTCAAGGGTATTCTATGAGTTTAGTCTAGCACTTTAGAGAATTTTGAAGAGATGGAGAACTTACCAACATGGCCTAATCAAAAGTACTGATGAAACTGACTGAACTGGGGGGAATTTCCTATGACACAGACTGGTGACCTAATGTTAGATCTGATTATACATTAGAAAGGGGGATAGGACATGACAACACTTTTTTTTTTTTTTTTTGGAATGTCTTGATCAGGGTTAATATAGTATATGGTAAATTTGATTTAGTTCTTGCAAACTGGTTGCTAAATTCCTCCTCTTCCTCTGAGGAGGCCCAGCAGACACAGGTTGAATGGATAGCTCATGTTCTTTAGTAACAGGCTAGGTTACTTGTATTCTCTGTTCACTGCCTGCACTCTGGTTCTTCCCCCCAGATGCCTGCACTGATTGCCCCCACTGGTATACATATATTGCTGCAGCTTGGGAATTAGGCTATCCTCTTCCTCACAAGGCAGAATATTTAATCTGGAGAACTGGTAAGGTGCTGGTAGACTGGAGAAGAGCAAACTTTGTGACAGAATGGAGAAGGTAGACACTATCCTGTCATATGATCCCCCAGACATATAGACTGTAATTGCAGCTGATAACCTTGAGCCTAGGAATTAGCTGGGAGAAAAAAATAACATTCTTTTTCCACATGCACAAAATTTCATGAGGGAAGGAGAAGTTGAAATGGACTAAGTAGCTGATAGGAAGAGACTTGTTTTTGGACTCAAAAGAAGAAACAGAAGAGGAAAAAAATGGCTAATGGGGAAAAAATAGAATTAGGCAGTTTCAGACTGTGAAAGAAATGCAGGTTTCTGGGTTATTCAAGAACACCAAAGATGAGTTGGCATAGAAGTTGCTATGCTGGGAGGAAGATGATGTAGCATAGTTCAGTCTACCCAGTGCAGATGCCCAGAGAGGGAGAAGAGAAGGATCTTACTAGCCTAGAGAGGTTGCCAGTATGTTTTCGAGTTGATTAGCTTATTGGGGGATTTAGTAATAACTACACAGTTAATAATATCTTAACACAAACATATACAGTAGAAGAAGTGTTATTGCTGAAGGCAGGAAACCATTGGAATGGTAAAGCAAACAGGCCACAAATCAATTTGCTGCATTCCACTTTTTTCTGAAGACAGAATCGGGGGGATCCATTGTATGGTTCAGCTGAATGCTGCTTGCCAAAGTTAGTCTTGCATGTCCAAAAGAGAAACTAAACCGTTTCTATCTTTGAAATGTTATGAATAAAGAAAAGAATTGACCTCATTGACAAGGAGATCCTGGCAGGCTACATCTTGTCTGATTAATCCAAAGAACCCCCTCACGGATATAGTCCCAATAGTCAAAAAAGAGGAGAAGAGAGGATCTCGGAAACTATACACAAGTTAATTTAACATCTGTACCGAGCATGGCACTTGTCAGATAGCATGTCAGCAGCATGTTTATGACACTTACAAAAGAATGCTGATTATCAGAAGCCAGAGCGTGTTTATAAAGAACAAGTCATGTCTGACTAAACATCTCTCTTTTTCTAATGACATAGTGACTGGTTTGGTAGACCAAGGGAATGTTGTAGATATAGGTTACTTTGTACTAAATAGAGCTTTTGACAAAGTCTTGTGAACAATATGGATAAATGCAGACTAAATAGTACTGCAATCTAGTGGACCTGCAACTGGTTAATATCTCATGCTCCCAAACTGCTCTTAGATAGTTCTGCATCATTCTAGAGGGAAGGAAAGTGGGATTACTCCAGGGTGTCATCTTCAACCCATTGCTATTCAACATAAATGACCTAAAGGATGGAATGCTTCTTAGATTTTCAGGTAATGCCAAGATCTGGGATTAGCTTTGTACCTTGGAGCACAAAGTCACAATTCAAAATTACTTTGAACATTGGGCCATGTCCAACAGTTGGTATTATTCATCTGTGACAAGTGTGAAGAATCAGTTGCAAAAGCACATGGGTGCAGTGGTGGTACTACATGTGAAAAGGGCCTAGGCACACTAGCAGACAACCAACTGAAGATGGGCAAATAATGTCACGCAGCAGCTAAAAAGGCCAGTGTACTGAATCCAGATCACAGGAGGTGATAGATCCATTGCATTCTGCTGATTCATCTGCACTTGGAGTACTGTTCTTGGTACCATATTTATTTAAAAGGGACATGAAGAAGTTGGTTCAAAGGAGAGTTACCTCCATGTGAGGGGGCTGGATATCAGGCTGTCAACTGAATGTTTTAAAAAGCTGTGGATGTTTAGCTTACAAAACAGAAGACTGAGGGAAGATATGGCAGCAGTTTTCAAATATCTAAAAGCTGGCTACATGCAAGAAAGGGCAGCTCTGTTCTCTGTTGAAATTGAGAGCAGAATGATTGAAGGATTGAAATGAAAAGGAAGGAAGTTCAGGCCAAATGTTTGGATTAATTTCTTGACACTAAGAGCTGTTGAGCAGTGGAACACACTATGTAGAACCTCATTGGAGGTGATCAGCTAAGAGTAGAGAGATACCAGTTGGGGAGGGCTTAGAAAATTTCTGCACTGAGCAGGGAGATTGGACGTGGTGATCCTTAAGATTCCTTCCAACTCACACATTCTATGATAAAATGGGATAGAACCATTTCCAAACCATCTTGTATTCTGGCAGGAAAGAACTACTGTATAAATATAACGTTGATAAAATAATAAATAAGCATGCGTTTTTCACACTTCTGTTATTCATCTGAAACCCAACAGTTATATGCATAAATAATTTAACATGGAATTAAACAAGCTGCTGTGTTAATTTATTAAAACATTTAAATCCTCTCCTTCCCTCCTCCAATTTTTGATCAAGGATTCCTAAGATGCCTAAGGACATACTGTAAGTGAAAACATCATCATTCTTTGAAATAAAGTTAAATGCAAGTAAATGTGGGTATATACAATGGAATGATGATATGATGGTGAATAATGTAGACTGAAAATATGTACATTGTTGCTTGGCAGAAAACCTCCTCTCTCTTTATTAGAATTCTTGTCCTAAATTTGTAGCTGGGATACAGAATTACTATCTTGGAATGAAAGACTACAATTACTACTTTTGGTTAGTAAGCTTGCAAAAGAAAGTCTCTAGCCTTAAGACATGATCTTAACCATACAACTCATCTGTAATGGTGCATATCACAATCGTTTAGTGAAACCTGGCTACAGGGTTATTGTGAGGATGAATGTGTGTGATGCTATCCTCACAGCACTGCTAGCAATGTAGAGAAAGTTGCAAAAAAAGATAAAATATCTCCTGTTTGTTTTATGTTCTCTTCTAGGACAGTTTTCCAGCTCGATTTGGAGGAATTCATTTTGTCAATCAGCCATGGTACATTCATGCCCTTTATACAGTTATACGCCCATTTTTAAAGGAAAAGACAAGGAAGAGGGTAATTGTATTCTTCTGTGTTTCCATCATATTTCATAACTTTATGAAAGGACTGATAGCCTTGAAAACTAAAGAACAAATACATGTTTCCAATGTCTTGTTTTGTGACTTTTTTTTAATTACACATATGGCAGATAAAACATTAATACTAACAAATTTTAGAACACAGCAAAGGATAAAAGAAATGGATTTTCAACTCACTGTTCTCATGAACAACACAAACCGATCCCATTTATTAAAAGCTGTATAGTTATTTGCACAGCTGCCTAAGCAGACTTGGTTCATCTTAAAGACTCTGTTCTGCAATGGGAGAATTGCTAATAATAGCAATTATTAATTATTTATAAAAAGCTATATAATCTTAGTAAAAAGTATTGTTTCTATATATTCACTTATAGTCCATGATGAACATGTTCATTGGAATCTCACCCAACAGCTTAAAGAGAAGTGGTGGTTCACTTCATTTTTCTGTATTGTAACTCCACATGTAAAAATGGTAAATAATAATAATAATAATAATAATAATAATAATAATAATAATAATAATTCTACTTTTGATGTGAACCTTAAGCCCAAGCTGAAAACACCATTAAGCCTACACACTGAGAGACATGTATACATTCTCCCAAAAACCATGCCTTTTGCTACAGTCCCAAGGTGTCTTTTTTTCATCTGCAGCCAAATTTCAAAAGCAACTTGAAATGGAGAATTTAATCGGCTTGCTCTTTGGAGGAATAATACCAAATTCTGCTATAGAAGCTGAAGGCAGTTGTTAATTTCTTCAATTTTTCAGTTGCTTCTCTTTGTGACCCAATGGATCGTCTGTCAGTAACTTCTCTGAATTCTTATAAGCTTCCACTCCTGTCATCAGTGATATTATCTCGCCACCTTGTCTTCCTTTGGCCTCTTGTTCAGCTGTTGCTCTGTATTTTATTCTGATCCATCCTGATCATTATACTCATTCTTCAGTAGGCAGAGGGGGTGGCCTAATATGTTTTTAAAGGCTATCCACAATTTTTTTTGGAACTTTTTTGCCTTTTCATTATCTATTGGATCACGGACATCTGAAGGCTTCAGATCAAAAAGGGAACAGATTGGGCCTTAAGCTCTGCCCCTGTTGGATATGCATGCAATTTCATGATGCACTACAAATGGGGTGGAGCTTGTATTGTGCCAATGCAATACTGTTTTCGTCATTCTGCCCTACTTGTCACTGCATTGTGACCTTGGGTGACCCTGGCTCTTCTGAATCATTGGGCTGCACAAGCCTCTTAACAGATACAAGGTAGTAATTCATAAAGGTGGCTGAAAACCTTAAGGATGCATAAACAGAGTTCCTAGATAGCAGCCACAAGTTAGGTGGGTACCATTTTCCCCTTTGAGCATCAGGCACCCTGACATGGTGTAGCACAAAGTAACCTTGAATGTTCCCCATAATTTGCCTTGTGCTCTGGTCATGTCCTTTGAGAAGGATGTGCTCAGAGCTCTTTGGATTATAGAACAGGATTCATGTTCATTGGATCCCAAATGCTGTTTGGAAGTAGAAACATGAGTAATCCTAAAGCAGCATCTTCAGGTAACCACTTCTGGAACATTTGGACATTTATCTTCTGGAACATTTGGAAAATTGTCTGTGATAAAGACTATCTAACCATATCTATGAGCTATCACTTTTTCAGATAGCCATATTTATTATTACAGATTCTGATATTTTTACAGTGTATTTTATTCTTCTTTTGCCTAGATATTTCTCCATGGAAACAACCTCAACAGCCTGCACCAGTTGATTCATCCTGAAATTCTTCCTTCTGAATTTGGAGGAATGCTTCCACCTTACGACATGGGCACATGGGCAAGAACACTGCTAGATCATGAGTATGATGATGACAGTGAATACAGTGTGGACTCCTATAACACTTCTGCAAAAGAAGTTGAAAAGGAGCTCTCACCCAAATCCATGAAGAGGTGAGTTAATGATGCCTTCTGAAGCAAGAGATGCCTAGGTGATCTCCCAGGTCAAATGACTGCTCTTAAATACTGATTCCTTTCTCTTACATCATGGGGCCATTCCAGGAAATTAGGGATGCGAAACTAAGTTCATCTCCAGGATCAGATTCCTCACATGGCAATCTGGAACCCCTTCTCTCCTCCTTGAACACCATCCTTTGGTATTCCTTCCTTTGCTTGGAAGGCAGGTCAACCCTCCTCTCAGTCCCTCTCTACATGGAGGATGAAAGAATTGCTCCCAGTCTTATTCAGATCAGAACAATTGCTCCACGCCCCCATTTGTAAGGAGGAAAACTCCTTTTCTCCATATAGAAGGAGGAACGGAGCATGGAAGAAGGAAATAGAGCAGAGTTATGGTGTGAAGATGTTCCCTGTCTGGATATAGAGATACTCTACATAGAGATACATTTATCATGCATCTATGCATGATTATGCTATGGGACAGTCCTGTGCATAATCAGATGGGAGACCAACCAATTCACTTTTCATTCTTCAGGCAGTTCCACCAAAAAAGAGAGTACTGGAAAAGAGAGGGAGAAAAACAACTTTTGCAAATTTGTCAGACCTGGGAAATTTGCTGTACCTGTACAAGCCACACTGAATGTTTTCCCTAAGGTTAGGAACTAAAGAATGCCCATCCTGGTAAATTTAGTACATGTCCTCCAAGGCCTTGGGCTGAATCCTCTCAACTGCCTGTCCTTGTTGCTTATGCTTTCCCTCCCCCCTCCCCCTTCCCCTGCTGTA